ATTAAATAACTTCCCTAAACTTTATCTTGTTGAGTAATATGTATAAATATACAGTTTTTAACAGACTTTCTCCTAATGCTAAAAGATTTTCAAGAGGAAATTGCTCTGGTACATTTTGAGAGCAAAAATTTACAACAAAAACGATTATTTTTATTAATTTTTGAGTTCAAAAAAACATATTAGAAAGTTTTAGATACAATTTAAATTTGAGAATATTGTTCCATCGTGGTGCATTTATATTATAGTGTTAATAAGATTCTCTAAAACTCATCAAAATTTTCGAATATTTATGAATTTGTACTTTAGATGAATTCAAAGATCTCTTCATGTCTTTTGATAGAGTTTCCAGAATGAGCTAAAAATTTGGGTTTCAGCGTATCTTTTCACGAACTTTCAAATGGTATAACCTATTTCAAAATCGAAATTACTTATATGCACGCTTGATCAGTAGTCTGATGGAGCTTTTCGTAAAATTAGATTTTCAAATATATGATAAAGAAATGGTTCGATATGGGTAGAAAAGAACAACTATTATTTAGCATAACTTTTTGAATTGTAGAATTGTGTAGAATTATTTTTAAAATATTGTATATATTGCACATTTACTACTGTTACTCTTGGTATATAATTTAGGTTCTTTGTAATTATAAATAAATTTTTATTCACATTATAATCTTGAGGAGTCAGTTTTTTGCACTATGTCCTCTTGAATATAGTTTAATTCGGAGCTTTTGTGAAAATTGGAGAAGATTCATTCGAATCTCATCGAATCGGATAGGAATCTACGGAAATATTTCAGTCCAGGATCATTACGAAGACCACCATATTACAAAACCTACGAAGAGTGTTACAAAAATACTATCATTAGTGGCTTTCGTAACGAAAATATCAAAAAAGGAGGAAAAGGAGGAGCACTCACATACCAGAAGAAACTAATAACAAGATTAAATTGATATTCTAATTTGTGAGTTAGTTGTAAATGAAGATTAGCGAAAAAAAGAGTCTTTCTCAAGTTGTTTATAAACTGTTGGGTGTTCATCCGACCCGAATTGGCACCTTTTTTTCTTTTATTTCTGTCGTTGTTGAGGAAAATGATGATATTGTCGACAAATTTATTTTCAATCGGAAAAGAGATTTAGTTTTGATGAAGCAGAAAAAATAAAATATATTAAGTAAAAAACAGGGAGACAACTACATGTTTTTTTTTCAAAACAAAAAAACAAACTCGAATAATATTTTCTTTCATTTATTTTTAGTAGATCATTTGAACAAAAAACTTTTATTTAAGAAAAAAGCTTTTTAAAAAAATCCGAATGTCTTTATCAATTTGATTTAATTCATTCATTGTTGCATTTCCATATTCTCGAATTATTTTACCATCTTGTTTTACTGTTGTATGATGTTTATCTCCACATATTTTACTTATTGTTTCAGTTTTGTATATTTTCATTTTGATTTGATGATTATTGAATGTGTTTTTCAATAACGCATCTTCCCGATGGTGTTGTTTCTCGTTTCATTGTTGTTATTATAACAGTTCTTGGAAATGCTCCATTAAGACCATGTTTTTCTATAGTAGAATCAAGATTTTCATCACCATAATGATTATCTACACAAGATATTAATTTAAGAAAATTCGTTTTTAGAATAGGTTTTTGTTGTTTTTACTTTGAAACTCTGTAGTTGAGAAACAGGAGAAAAGTCGATCGAAATCAGTGACGATTTTTTCAATTGGGGAAAATAAACCATTGAATGGAAAATCATCATTACTATCTTCCATTTTAGTTTTTAGAATGGAAATTTATTTCTCAATGTTCATTTTTATTTTTATTTCAATATGAAGATATCTATAGAAAAAAAGTATATCGTTAGACATTTAATTATCTCTTAGTCTTATTAATGACTTAATAGATCTGCGTAGGTTACTAATTGAGTTAGTCAATCGAGATATTGCAAAGGTTGAATATCAAATGAAATCAGGTCGCTAAAATTTCTGAAACGATTATAAAGTACTCAGTTGCATTGATATCGTTTTATAAACCGAGATTATTTATTTTTGTATATTATCATAGAATTTCAATGTCTACTGAAGTGAACTTATTTCAAACAAATGTATTGATTTTAAATTTTCGTTTTAGAAACGGATTTCTTTATCTTGAAATACAAAGAAAAACGTTCTAATGATAAGTTACTTTTTCAAAATGATAAATATATGCATTAAAAGTTAATAATAATGATAATAGAATTAGAATTTCAGTTGCTTTTGTAACTCGACATAATTCTCCTATAAATTCCGATAAATAGGCTGCACCGGATAATAGATTTTCACTAAACAAGAATTAAAGATTACTTTAAATTAAATTCGGTTTTATTTTTAAATTTCTTACCGATAAATGTGGTACATTGGATGCTGCACAAATATTAAATGGATTATATTCATCATAATTTAATGAATGTTCATCAATTGGATTCTTTCCACGTACACTTAATACTTTCCGTGTCTAAACAAAATAATAATAAAGTTTTTATTTGTTTTTTTCTCCGTATCCTAAAGTTATTGAACGAAAATTATGTTTCATTTAACAAAGAATAAACTCAATTGTTTCAAATAAATCAAAACAACATGAACAACTTCGATCAACAGATATGACATATCTTTGCGTGCATTAAAGATAGCTATGTTTTTATAAAGATTTCTTTACTAGTAGACCTGAGAAATTAATTC